CATGCAGACCAAAGTCAGCCGTGGGGTCCCCTTTAGACTACCTCACTGATTCAGGACCCAGTCTGGGAGCCAGCGTCCTGGGTCTCCACACTGCATTCCTAAATTACACAATCCTAGGCCCAGAGCTGCTGGGGCTGGCACTGGCGTAGCAAGTTAAACCACCACCTGCAGTGCCGGCGTCCTATATGGGTGCTGGTTCAAGACCAGGCTGCTCCACTTCCGATCCAGCTCCCTGCTGGTGGGAAAGCAGTGGAAGATGGCCCACGTGCTTGGGCCCCTGCACCCATGTAGGATGCTCGGAAGAAGCACCTGGCTCCTGGCTTCAGATCGGCTCTGCTCTGATTGTTGCAGCCACCTGGGGAGTGAACCAGCGGATGGAAGACCCCTCTCTCTGTCTGTAACTCTGCTTCTGAAATAAATAAATAAATCCTTAAATAAATAAATGTTTTAAAAAAAACACACACACAGACGCACACACACAGTGTCCTCCAGGTGCTGCCAGAGGCCGCAAGGGCGTTGGGATGAGAGGGCTCGCTTGTGCACCGCCGGCCTTTATTTAGCTTGAGACCTGTGGCGGCAGGGCGGGATGGGGTGGGGTGAGCAGGCCCACTCTCCAAATCCCCACTCCAATGTGCAGCCTGCCAAACCGTGCACACAGACATGACAGGGGATTGTGCAAAATGCACCACAGACAATGTAGCTAATGTACCAGGACCCCCCTGCACAGGCGCTCAAGAGCCAGGCAGGAAATGACTAGGGGTATGAGAATCCGAATGGAGCACCCGAAAAGGAACAGGTCTTGGGGGTGGGGGTGGAGGGGGCATTGATCTGCTTCCTCTGCTTATCCCCTTCTCCAAAGAGAAAAAGAGAGCGCACGGACAAAGAAAGCGTGAACTCTGGCGCTCTCCCTGGAGCAGGCTGCGTGCCATTCAGGCAGAATCTCTTTACACAATGGATGAGAGAAGTAAGAACCAGGTTGCCAAAATCAGCAGGACAAGCAAGTCCTGGGTATTCAGCTCGAGAGGAGCCTGGACACATTTCAGAAAGAGCAGAGAATCGAAAGACGGAGACGCCGCCTCCTGCCCTGGGCTGACAGTCGGAAAATACAAGTTAATTTGTGTTTCACGAGATAGGACCAAGGGCACATGCGAATGGAACCACGCAGACCCTCTGGAATCTCATGGGTTAGAGTCATCAGTCCAGGCTTTTCAGACACCCTGGGTCAAAATTCTAGCAGGCGGGCAAGGTGTTAAGATGCCCCTTGGACCACAGCAGCCCCTATCTGACTGCTTGGGTTCGAGTCCCAGCTCTGCTCCTGATTCCAGCTTCCTGCTGATGTGCAACCTGGGGGGCAGCAGTGATGACTCAAGTGCCTGGATCCTTGTCACTCAGTGAGGAAACTCAGACTGACTTCCTGGCTCCTGGCTTCAGCCTGTCCCAGCCGTAGCTATCGCAAGCATTTTGGGAATGAACCAGCAGATGGGAACACACTCTCCCCTCCCTCTCGCTCTCTGCCTTTCAAACAAATTAAAGAAATAAATTGTAAAAACACAAATTTATCTTGCTTAAAATTTGGGGCCAGTGCTGTAGCATAGTAGGCTAAACCCCTGCCAGCGGCACCAGTGTCCTATATGGGTGCCGGTTCTAGTCCCCGCTGCTCCTCTTCCAACCCAGTTCTCTGCTGTGGCCTGGGAAAGCAGTAGAAGATGGCCCAAGTCCTTGGGCCCCTGCACTTGCATGGAAGAAGTTCCTGGCTCCTGGCTTCAGATAGGCCCAGTTTCGGCTGTTGTAGATGGAAGACGTCTCTCTCTGGCTCTAACTCTCTGTAACTGTCTTTCAAATAAATAAATAAATCTTTTTTAAAAATACTTAAAAGTTTTTCTTTTAATTCTGGATGGGCTAATGAGGAAGACTTTTTTGCTGTCAAAAAAACAGGGGGCCGGCCGGCACTGTGGCATGGCAGGTAAAGCAACTGGATGCAGTGCCAGCATCCCATATGGGCGTCGGTTCAAAACCAAGCTGCCCCATTTCCAATCCAGCTCTCTGCTGTGGCCTTGGAAAGCAGAAGATGTCCTAAGCCCTTGGACCCCTGCACCCACGTGGAAGACCTGAAAGAAGCTTTTGGCTCCTGGCTTCGGGTCGGCACAGCTCCGGCCATTGGGCCAATTGTGGAGTGAACCAGCGGATGGAAGATCTCTCTCTCTCCCCCTCCCCGACCCCCTCTCTCTGCCTCTCCTCTCTCTGTGTAACACCGACTTTCAAATAAATAAATAAATCTTAAAAAAAAAAAAAAAAAAAAAACAGGACAATGACCCCCCAAAATTCCAGAATCATGGTAATTTCCCCCCCCTAAAATGGGTCTTGGAGATCATATAATTTAATTTTTTAAAAGATTTATTTATTGATTTGAAAAGCAGAGTTAGAGAGAAAGAGAGAGAGATCTTCCACCTGCTGGTTCACTTCCCAAATGGCCACGATGGCTGGGGCTGAGCCAAGTCTCCATCTGGATCTCCCACATGAGTGGTAGGAACCCAAGCCCCTGAGCCAGCTTCCACTGCACGTCCCAGGCACATTAACAGGGAGCTGGATCTGAAGCAGAGCAGCAGGGACTTGAACAGGCACTCATGAGAATCGCAGGTGGCTGACTAACCTGTGTGCCACAATGCCAGCTATCTCATTTAATTTTATTGACAAGGAGCCCACACCCAGAAAAATCAAACAGCCTCCAATCACTCTGCTAACTAGTGGCACAGCCAGGAATGAAGTCCAAGTTTCCAGACTCCTTGCACGGAAGTCACAACATGTTCAAACAATCAGTGAGTTTCTCTGAATTCCAGGGTCCTGGACTCTCAGCAAAAGTGTGGACAAGTCATATATGAGGGTTTATTTGCACTGCTTAAACTGGATAATATGTGCACAAAGGAAAATGTTTTCCAACATTTCCATAATGCACGCTTAAAGCAGCAGGGTTGATGTGCACACATCTGATTTGGGTATCGACTAAAATTTTTGTTCTGCAGATAAAATTACATGGCATCATTCCGATGTTTTCTTTCAGCCTCTCCTTTGCTTGGAATTGCAGAAGGGTTAAAAATGTCCTTTGTCCAGGAAGGCTCACACACACACACCTCCTGGATTACAGGGTGGATTTGTAGTTCAGGATATGGAACAGGGAAATGGAAAAAAAGAGGCAATGGGGTCATGGTGCCTGTGGATATCTGAAACACACCTAGGACAATTTGCCATGGTGAGGCAAACATCAGAGGCAGGTCACGGGTTGCTTCCGGGTTTGTGGGTTTGAATCTTGTGAACAGGTGATTTATGAAAACTCAAGACGGAAGTGCAATGGACAGAACTGGCGGCCTGAACAATCTGAGAGTTAGGAAACACTAAAATGCAATCTCGGGATGAGGAGTAAGCTCTGCAAACAATTTTGTGTCTTAGAAAGACTGAGAAATGCTATTTTCTCTGGATATCCGCAGTTTGTCACCCAAAGGCCCAGTCAGAAGTTGGACCACAGCTCCTTTCAAAGGAAAACATCAGGTAAAGGTCGCCGAGCAAGAATGACATCACCGGAGTTTTGTGTTTTCTATTTCCTGATCTGCTTTTTAAAAAATGAACAAAAAATGTGTTTTTAAATGAACTTCAGGGGCCGGCGCTGTGGTGTAGCGGATTAAACACTGCCCGCAGTGCCGGCATCCCATATAGGCACCAGTTCGAGTCCCAGCTGCTCCACTTCTAGCCCAGCTCTTTGCTATGGCCTGGGAAAGCAGTGGAAGATGGCCCAAGTCCTTGGGCCCCTGCACCTGTGTGGGAGACCCAGAAAAAACTCCTGGCTCCTGGATTTGGATTGGCACAGCTCCAGCTGTTGTGACCAACTGGGAAATGAACCAGTGGATGGAAGACCTTTCTCTCTCTCTGCCTCTCCTCTCTCTCTATAACTCTGACTTTCAAATAAATAGATCTTTAAAAAAAAAAAAAGAACTTCAATCAAGACACTGAATAGGTATTTGTTGAATAAATGAAAGAAGCTCTTAAATCCAAAATTTTTACTTCTTGAACTTCTACTGTAGAAGCGAGCCCATACACAGCAAAACTGATCAATAACTAGGCAATTTTTTTCTATAACATTGGTTTTTTAAATGCTTTAAAGAAATAATCCAAGCCCCACATATTTGCCAGAAGAACATATATTTTGTGGAAAGAGCTAATGGAACTACTTAGAAAACGAAGCAAAACAGATTGAAAATCATAAAGGGGTACGTACAATTCTCTCGAAAAATACTGTATCGATATTTAGCTCTACATTCTTGTTCTAGGGTAAACTCTATTGTTGTTCTTCTTTGCCTCACATATATTTTTTAAAGAAAAAGAAAACTGTTTCAGGACACTGTGTCACCAAGATCCCAGCCAGGGACACTGGCTCCAATTATCAGCATCAGTGCATTTTGAAGGCCTCTACCTTCCAAACTTCTCCACAGAGTGTTTCTGCACCCTCCCCCAACCCCCAAGAGGGGGGGAAACAAAAACACCATGGAAGCCATGAAAACATATGATAACATCCTAAAGAATGAACAGAATCACTCTGATCATACATATGCATTGTTAAAGGTTTTGCATCATCTTCCAGAAACCTCTTAGGTTACATCGATGCACCAAATGAAATGACGTTTCGCTGAAGAAACAGGATGAGCTCCACCATCCTAGCTGTAGTACTCAGAACAAAACGTAGCTGAGATACTGAGTTTGGGATTTGTCTATATAGGTCTCCCTCCTTCCCAACCCCAAGAATGTCCAGAATTTGAACTCCTTGTCCTTAAGCTAAGAGGGCTCTAACTCAGATCTCTTCGTGAGGAAAGCAGGTGGCGAACCCTGAGATCCTGGGCCGTCCCAGCAACTCTCCCATGCCGAACGTGGCAGCAGATGACTCTTGCCTCAGCAGCAACTGGAACCGACACCCGAATGGCAGGGCATTAATTAGGAGCCAGTGAGATCTCCACTTGCATCTCAGTAATTCGCTACTCCTTTATTTCAACATTTAGCTTTAGGTTTAAAATATTTGCTAAGAAAGCAGAGAGGCGATTAACAGATTTTTTAAATGTGTGCCATCGTTACACATTCTGTCAACAGCGTAAAAGGAAACTATACAGCATCAGTTACAAAATGGTTATGTCAGGTTTCGCAAACATTTCAATAAACCCTTTGCTGTGGTGCTATTGGACAGTAGAAAAGCAAAGCAGAAATGAACGAGAGCAGCCCAGCTCTTACAGTGCCGAGAAACCCACCGGCTGCAGCTTCAGCCTGAGACTCTCGGGCAGTTCTCCCACTTCTCCTTCCAGGTAGCAAGGAGAGCAGACAGAGAGAAACTGCAGCTCCCTAGGGGGAGGCCAGAAGTGAATCCAACCCCAGGATACAGTCCTCGGGGCTGCTTCTAGAACTGCAAATACTCCCAGCTTCCCAAAGGCATAGATGTTGACTATCTGGGTGGGGGTTAGTAGCACTGTCTCCCAGGGAATAAATTAATGTTTGTTTAAAAAAAAAAATCCTTATTTTTAAAATTAGCTAGAGCTACCAGATTCTCTAAGAGCTTGGCCACCACTTGGATACGATGTTATTATTTTAAAATACTTTATTATGATTTTTATAGTATTATTCCAACAGACTGTATTAAAGGCAATGATCACTAACACAGAACACGACAGGGGCTGACAGCCAGGCAGCTCTCAGAATACGTGGCCTGCAGGGCCAGGGTCCTGACATGCATACGGGTAGTTCATACGCTGCTACCCTCAAAGCACAGGCTGCAGAAGTGAATGAGAAGACAGATACTGCTGTACCTCAGAAGCTATTTAATAAATATCATCCGAAACCAAAATGGAAAAGAAACCCTCCAGAGCACAACCACCTTAGGTCAACTGAATGTTATCTAGTTTATTCAACCAAAAATGGAGAGAGAGGGAAAATATTAAAACAACAAGAACAAAAGAGAGAGAGAGAGAGGAGAGAGAGGAGAGAGCGCAATTCTTAACACTAGCAGTAAATAAATTTGTACAACAATTCAGTCTGTATAATAGGATGAAATAAATCTACATCTTTTCTTATTTCGGTGCTTTGAATTATACATACAAACATCAATTACAGGGACTTATTCACAAAGCATGTAGGCCTAGAAGCAACACTCCACACCCCTCGGTGACCAAGTGCAAGTCTTAACACTGGTTGCCCGGGAACTGGTTTCCTTCGCAGAGGCCCACAGCTTTGGACGAATGATTTCGCCTACGACATTTTTCTCTTATTTCTTTTTATCTTTTTTTTCTTTTTTTCTTTTTTTTCCCCCCTCTTAATGCATCAAACAACTGTGGCCAGTGAAAGGAAACAAAACTGGCAGTCTGTCCATCTGGATTCAGACCTAGTTTCTTCTTAACTTCTGTGTATATCCCCTATGTTCCTTAAAACTCTCCGTGTCCTTCATGCTTTTGTTATAGCTACCCAGGTGCAGCAAAGTCTCCCTCGAATGTACAGTATTTCTTACAATATAAGTTATATGCAATGTTCAGCGTTTTTTATTTATTTTTTTTTCACAGCACTAGAGACCCTGTTAAATAGGGAATATGAGTCTGAATGGCTTATTCACAAATGGGATCCAGATTCAGTGGTCGCAACAGAGACACCGCAGTGAGCTCCTTTGCCAAAGCGGCAACCATCGTTTCGCTTTCTGCCTTCGAAATCACGTATCCGTCGCGTTGAGGCTTCATGATACTGCTCCTGCAAAAACGCAAGTAGAATAGAAGGGATCGGAGGGGCTCTCTCGCTCAGAGACCTGTACACGGCGGGCCGGGCTCTAGCCCATGGCGGTGACCATACTGGAGGGATGGTGAGGTCCGAAGGAGAGGCTGGACGGCGGGTGCATCGGCGTGGGCGTGGTCAGCATGTGGCTGGAGTGGCTGAACGGGGAGATGTGGCTCAGCGAGGACATGTGTCTGGACAGGGCGGCCGGGTTGAACGAGCTGCTCTTGGGGAAGTCCTCCAGGGTGTCGTGCACCTTTTTGCACTTTTTGGATTTGCTAGACATTTTTCGGTTTCTGGTCTGGATGCCTTCCTTCTTCATAGTCAGGGGTCTGTTAATCTAAACAAAGATCAATTTTTTGGTTTTTTTTTTTACTTTTTTTGCTGCCTTTGAAAGGGCACAGGCTTTCTCCTACACCGACAGGGTTCCGCCAGCCTCCCCAGGCCAGGCATCTGTTTCAGTTTCAGTCACCCCTTCCTCTCCGCCCACCCCCCACCCCCCACCCCCCACCTTCTCGAAGGCTTCTTCTCAAAAAGACAAGTCCTACCGAGTAGGTGGGGGAGGGGCGTTCTGACCATCCGCCTCCATGGCTTCCTGACACCAAGGGATCATAGGTGGGGTGCCCCACCGAGAACTCAGCAGCATCAAGAATTTGGGGAGCACGACCTGACACTGTGGCACAGGGGGGTGAGCCACCGCTTGTGACTGCCACTATCCACTACCCGGGTGCCAGCTGAGTCCAGCAGCTCCACTTTCAAACCAGGTCCCTGCTAATGATGCACCTTGGAAAGAAGCAGCAAATTTCCTGAGTGCCACGGCCCCGCTGGGGGAGACCCGGCGGAACTTGACTCCCAGCTTCTGCCTGGCCCAGACCCAGCCATTGTGGCCATTTGGGGACTGACCCAGCAGATGGAAGATCTCTCTCTCTCTCTCTCTCTTTCTCGCAATCTCTCTGTGTCACTCTGGCTTTCAAATAAATCCTCAAAAAATAATAATAATAATTTGGGGGGAAAACTGTCCTCAGGGAACTCCAAGGGCCCACCCAGTATGATTATATTTTTCTGGTAGCTGAAACAGTATAACTTGTTTTGTTTCTTTACACTTTCCTTAGAAGAGTTAAGGCACCTGGCCTAGTGGTTAACATGTCCACATCCCATATCAGTGCCTGGGTTCCAGCTCCACCCCAGATTCCAGCTTCCTGCTAATGTGCACCCTGGGAGGCAGCAGGTGATGGTTCAAGTGCTGGGGTCCCTGCCACCCACATGGGACACCCAGATGGAGTTCTGGGCTCCTGGCAGAGCCCTGGCTGCTGTGCCCATTGGAGGAATGAACGAGCAGATGGGAGTTCTGTCTCTCTGCCTATCGACAACATTTTTTAAAAATAATAAAATAAAATAAATAGTTTGTGAGAGTAGAGGCTACTGAATAATCTTCAAGAGGGAAATACTGTTCTGTCTACTGATCTGATAAAGCTGTCTTTGGACTTAGAGAGCACTGCCCACGTCATCAATCTCTTAAGTGTTTATCTGCCTTGGAGGAACAGTGACTATAATGGCCTGCTAAGTAGGAGTTGCCTCCCTTCCATCCCCCGCCTTTGCACAATGAGAACTGCCCGTAAAAGCTGCCCCTGGCATTTGCGTGCATGGAGGTCGCGCCTTTCCTGGCTGGCCCACACCACCCACCAGCACTGGAGAGCTGCTAGTGCTGACTCCTCACTCCTAACGAGGCAAACAGCCACACGGCCGATCAGCAAGTATTGAATGCCCACTTGGGCTGTGCCAAGCACCATGTTAGCAAGAAAAATGCTCTTGTCCTGCAACAGAAAGAGCAAGAAACCGAAGACAGACCCTCACTCTAAGGACCACTCGACTTCACCCCCTGAGACAGACTACTACCCTCGCCCCCTCAATCAACTCATTTGTCTGGGCTCTGGGGCCCAGACTCAAGAAAAGCGACTCTATAAAGTAAACAGAGGCTAGTCCCCACGCGGAGACAGTGTCAAATTAACCTTGACCACAGAAATCCACGAGCAGCCAACTGCATATCTGCCCATTTCCCGGTGACACGCAGCAGAGACCCCAAGAGTCCATGTCTGGGTCCCAGTCATTCCCGACTTCTCGGAGGCAACAGGTGCTTCCAGCAGGGTTCTCAAGGGCAGAGAAAGGGGTCCCCTTAGCTCCAGGCTCTCCCAATTCCCAACGCTAGAAATGACAATTAAGGAACTAAGGATCCAGTCGGCTATGCTGCTGAGAGGCTGAGCTGTGATGTCCCACGTGGAGGCCCCACACTGAAGCTGACACCTATTTACTCCTGCACCAGAAAGGGTACGTGGGGCAGAGGAGGAAGAGCTGAGGAAGGTCACGGCCGGGAGAACATCTCAGGGCTCCTTCCTCAAAGTTACCATGGAGATAAAGAGGCAGCCTGCAGAGATGACAGGAATCTACTCCCACATCACATCTCCCTCAGATAACGTCTGGATACACCAGCCTCTTACTCGGGTATCTAGATATACACAGCCAGATATCGAAATATAGTATCTGGTTACACAGAGAGCCACACAGCCCCAGATAACTAGTCACAACACCACCCAGATACACTGATGGCGAGATAGGCAGTTATCTACACACCTAGATAAGGAAGGAAGGAAATTATGGTATACACGTACTGATATCTGGATGGGCAGAACAACACAGGACACGATGAAAATGTTAATAGATTATTATCTCTCACGGTTAAATACCCAGAAATCGCCTCCTTTAACAAGCTAAGCCAGGGAAGACAGGAAAAGCCAACTTGAGGACAAGTTGCTTCTCTCTCCTAGGCACAGGAGCCCAGCTACAAAGGCGTAAACGTATTGAGACCACACACTAGTGAGACCAGATCTCATCACGGCTAACTAGTCAAAAAAACTATATATATATATATATATATATATATATATATATATATATATTTACATGGCTAATTTCCCATAATTCCTACTTTCCATGGAAGTAGGAAAGAAATACACACATGTACACTATTAGTGATGATTCTGTTATATCCTGAAGTTAGAGAGGGTTTAGTTTCAGATGATTCTCCTATTAATCTTGATAGTACTGAACTCCCAGGAAAACCTGCTACTCTAAAATCGCTCCTCACTCTTCCTCTTTATTATCAGCCTCGTCACGGTGCAAATGCGTCTCGATTTTCTGAGTCATAATTTCTTCAAGCAAGACTGAAATAAAAATCATCTCTGCCCTGTCTACACCAGGGGTCTATCTGAAGCCGGATCATAATCAAGAAGCCAGAAAGTTCTTGGAAAGCCATAAATTACAGCCCCCAAAATATCTTGATGGGCTGAGCTGATGCTGGCTTAGCTAATGAACACAAATGCCCCCTAATCTTCCAGATTTGAATCACAAATCTTATCTCCCCTGCAAGTGACAAAATTTCCCAAAATGAAAATAAGACGCGAGTTTAACTGCTGGGGAATGTATACAGCACAGTTTCCAAGATCTGAGGGAGAAACGAGGTCAAATTTAAGACTCCAGGTTTATGAGCGCTAGGCACGGCATGGGGATGGAGTCACAGAGGGGGTGACCCTGTGGGCAGGAAGCTGAGCAGGCCGGGTCCCTGGGAATCGTAGCAACCTGCTCCCCAAAGTCACCCTGAGAAGGTCTCTGTGACTCAAAGCTTCTCACCGCACGGCTTCCTCCTCAGTGCCCAGATGCTCCTGGTAAGACGAGTTTACTGCCAGAACTGCCCCAAGCAAAAATCCCTGCCTCTTCCCAATTCAGTCTCAGACTCTGCCAAAGTCAGGTTGGCAAACAGATGCCAGGAGAATTAGAAAACGCTAAGGGGAGAGAAAGAGAGAGAGCGAGCAGAGAGAGAGACATGTCCATTGTCTTCTGCAGGACTAATGTAAACTTGAGGCCTCTTGGGGACTCACAACCTGTCGGCCAGCAAGAGTTGTTTGAGGGAGGGGGAGAAAATTACCAAACTTTTTTTTTTTTTTAAGGCAAAGATATTTTTAAAACTGGGAGGAGCCGAGACCAAAAGATGAGAAAAGAGCCCGCTCGCCCAGGTGACTGGCAACTCCCCCGCCAGCATGCTACCCACGGAGAGAAAGCTGGGTTTCTTTTCCCTGCTCTGACACCATCACACGCGTCTCCTTCCTTAGGAGCTCTGCATGCGAAAGCTGGTTAGGACAAAGACATCAGATGAAATCTCTCAGACATTTCATTTCATGCCTTTTAAACAGAGAATGCATTTAAAATTCCTAGCACAGGTCTCGCCAAGACTTTTTCTCCCTCAGTAACTGGATCGGTCCTCTCTCCTCTCTCGGTTGCAGGAATGCCTGTGCCACGCATGACAATTCTATTACCTTTCCCTCTCCCCCTCACACATGCTCTCTTTCCCTTTTTTGCCAAAAATAAGACAAATAAATAATAAATGTTGGAAATGAAAGCAAACAGCAAAACATACCCCGGTGACATTTTTCGATGTCCAAGGGGAAGATTTTTTTTTTCCCCTTCCAAACCAGATGGGCCCACCACGCGTATCAGATTGCCACACTGCAGGTCACGTGTTCAAAACACCCCAAGCGAGTCATGTTGCTCGCTCTCTACAAACTCCTTGGGAATCTGCAAGGCTCAGTTCAGCAAAGTCGTTTTCTCAACTAGATCCTACAGCATTCATTGTAGGGGCCGGTGGTTTGGCCCCAAAGGAGAGAATCTAAACAGAGCATGGGTTCTGAAAGGGGCGACCGTGCCACCTCTTACCAGGCGTCTCCCTAAAAGCAGCCCCAGTGGTGCCGCTCCCCGTCCCACTTACATTGTGCAGCTTGTAGTAGAGCCCGCAGGCGTTGCACACAGGGTCCCCATTGGCATTCCTCCTCCAGAGGGTGGTCGTCGTGGTCTGACAGTTTGCACAGGAAGTCCCGGCTCTCCTGGCTGCCGACTGGGATGGCAAGGGGAAAGGCGGGGGAGGGGGGAGAGAGAGAGAGAGAGAGAGAGAGAGAGAGAGAGAAGCAAATCAAAACAAATGTTAAATGTGCAGTCATCAACACCATGCAGACAGGCTTTACCAAAAAAAAAAAAAAAAAAGCCAAAGAAAGAAATTCTCATTGAAATCAAAACTAGCAAGTAGCCCACATGAAAGTTATAAAGATCCCCAAAAGCTGCCTTCAGAAGAGAATGGCAGGCAATCCACTGGATGGGAGTGGGGGGACCCAAGTGACGAGGTCAGGGTTGAAGCTGCTGATCTCCAGGGCAACCAGCGTCACCTCCCTGGCACTGTCACTCTCCCCCTCCCTAGCCTAGCAAGTACACCAGTGGGTTAAGGGGTGTGGGTAGCAACTTCCCATTAGCCAGACTGATTTTGGGCACCAGCCTTTCCAGCTGTCTCATTCACCAAGCCCAAGCCCACAAGAAGTCTTTGACTCCCAAGAGGATCTATCGTCACACAGGCTACAAGACAGAGGGACAGCCCAAGCAGCACCAGCACTGTCACAGGATGTCTGTGCATGCGAGCGGCACACACTCCCGGGAGGCAACATTTAGGAGGCACCAAGCAGGACACCCTGGAGAACCTGCAGCAGACCCAAGTGTACAGAGCCAGCACCCTCAGACCCTGGGACAGTCGCCCTCACTCTCTCCTGGTGACCATCGGGGACTGAGACAAACTCCAACAAATACAGAATTGTTGCTATTCAACAGGAGCCCTGGCTCCCCTCCTCCTGCTCTTATCTCATTGCACCTTCGTGAAATTAGCTATTTCCTATTTTGCTGTTCACTTAGCAGAATGCTCACAGGTCAAACATTAGTCTCAACTTGAATTTCAATTCCTTGGCGGCGGCCCTGCTTCCATTTCCTCTACAAAAGGAGACTTTCACTTTCCAACACATTCGAGTTTCTCAGGGAGTTATTCTCCTTGTCCATATTAAAAAAAAAAAAAATTAGACTAAAAGGCTGTTGAAAGAAAATGCGAGTTGAGTCACTTCTAACATGCACCTCTCTCTCTTCCTCACCTCCCCTCCTTACAAAGGATTTTAACTGCAAAATTATCCCTGCTCCTGGCCTCAAAAATATTTATCAAGGAAGGGGGAGGAATCCAGGTAGTTTTTAATCTGTGATCAAGAAAGCGCTGGTGTGGTTATAAAACATGCAAGGAAAGCTACCAGGATCCTGGTGTGTTTCGATATTGTATCAAGCGAAACTGTTGGGCCAGGCACCCAACGCTGCCAGATAGGGAAAACACAGTGGCAATCCTGAATTAACCAGACTGACTTCTTTTCTTTCTTTCAAAGCCACTAAATTGTTCCATAAATACTCTCCTTTGGGCTAGAAACAGCAGAGTGATCACTCTTTTTTTTTTTTTTTTAAGTAACTTTTTAGCATTCCAAGGAACTGGACATTAAAAACAACCCCCATTTATCACAGGGGAAGTGTCTATTTTCTGTTGTCTACTTCAAAAGTAACACACGAGGGGCACAAGGGGCCGAGAGCGCTAGTTCTCACTCCAAACCAGTACTTGGATACCTAAATAACTGATATGATTAGTGTGGTCTTCCCATAGTGCTTTTTTTCCTCTAAAAAAAATATGCAGGGACAGTTGACTTATCCGTCCTGAGGCCCTCAGACCTCCCCACCCAACAAATTCAAATGCAGAGTGCCAACGAGAAAATCGAGAAAATCGGTGCTGTCAGCGACGAAGGCCAGAGTGTAATTCCTTGCAGTGTACTGACAGTCACATAAACACAGGCGAGCTCAGAAAATGCCTCCGGTCCCACAGACTCCACGCAAACTTTAGACAGTCTCTCGAAGCCACTGTTTGGCTCCCTGGCAGGGACTATGAACAACAGCAAGAGCTCAGTGGACAGAACACCCTGCCAACACTGGGGGCAGGGGTGGGGACCGATGGAGCTTCCCTGGAGTCATTTCGTCTAGCTGCCGCACTCATTTAATTCCATGTCGCAAATTCCACAGAAGAGCTGGCTAGGTTATGGGCTGGGGGTGGTCTTTAGCTAACCTGCAAGTAGCAAACACAGGAATAGCAAGCTCTAACAACGGAGCTGGGGCAAAAGGACAGAAACACAGCAAAGGAAAAAAAAAAGATTCAGATGTTCAGAAGTCAAACATATTTAAGGAATTAAAAAACTATTTATCAAAGGTGTCGGTCTCCCTGTGTTATATAAATTCTAGGCAACTAACAACACCAAATTGCTCAGGGCAGCTGACTAAGAAAGAAAAGGCAGCTTAAAATGTGACAGCCAATGAATTATAAAATTAAGAGTAATTATTACTCAGAGTTCAAGAGGGTTCCTATAAAAACGAGGGGAGACAAAATGATGTAAGATGGGAGTAGAACCATCCTCAGCCATCTGTACAGACGGAAGAAGAAAACCCAAGAAAATGTCAAATGAACTCTTACTCATCAATTGGGTATTGTCCAAGAGTTTTACCCTCTCTGCTTTTCCCTTCTTTATCTGAACAACAACAACAAAAAAACTAATGGTACCATGACTTAGTTTTAACAAGAAGGTTTCTGTTGTTAGTTTTCTTCCTTTTTTTTTTTTTTTTTTTTTTTCATGACGGCCAGGTTTTGAGTGATTCAGAACATTCTTTTGTGGTGTGATCATACTCATTCAGTGCTCACACCTCCCGCCATATTTTTTTTTCAAACCCTTCTTGCTCTGGTATGTCCCAACATCTTGATGTTTAGGTTGGGGAAGCCGAGTTGTTGTTTATGAGTTATCTCTAGTGCTCAGATATCCGGCAGCTTTTTCCTAGGAAGTTAAGTTTCGCACATGCGAGCAAGGGGGAAAAAAAAAATACCAAACTACACGAGGAGAAGCAGGGGGGAGGTTTGAGAAAGCTGGAGAAGAGGGCAAAGATCATGAAGAATAAAGCGGAGAGAGCTAGGGTTGCCAAAAATTAAAGTCATGTGGGCACTTCCATCCCTAGAAAGCTTTCCCTTTTTCTAAAGAGGATATGAAAGGTGTTGAGTTGCACTACGATCTGATGCGGAGGACAAATTATTCTTTAAAAAGAATACAGGGGCAGATTCCCCCCCCCCCAATGTGACGGATGCTAATTCATCCATTAATCTCCACTGGGAAATCCCCCCCTCCCCCTTTTGCTTGGTGAGAGAGCATGCTGATGTCCCGGCTGTGGTTAGAGCTGTCATCTGTCAGTTCTGTTTTTATTTGCCTCTGTCACGTTCACTCACCCATCCAACCTGGCCTGAGTGTCCCACAACACACTCTTCCAAGGGAACCCCTCCTGCTACTTCTCAAGTTCTCTCAACTACTCCTAATGCTCAAGATGTTTAAAAGTGGGGGGTGAGGGGGGAGAGGGAGGACAGAAAAAATATTAAAAAAAAAAAAAATGATCACCCTACGGACAGGTGTTCAGAGAGAAAATGAGACCAATTGCTAGGTGTGACCAAGAGGCAAGACAGGATCCACCAAGCTTTTCCCCCAGGAATTGAGGGACAACCTCAGTCCAACAGAGCAAGAAAAAACGAAGAGCAGTGCAAGAGGCTGGCTGCTGCTGCTGCTTCTGAAATGCAGTGAGTCGCTCCCATCCATCTCAAAGAACTAGCACAAGAAAGTCACCCAAAGCTTGCCCAGACTATGACATCGCCCCTCTGCGCCCACCTTCTACTGCAGGAACAAGGTCTAGGTGGTTCCCGGGGCTTTCCGCTCAATCTGCATGCTAAATGACTTGTCTGTGCAACAGGGATCATCAATGCATCTTAAGTCAGCAGTCCTGGAACCACTGACACAATTAGCCTATTAGAGAATCTCTGTCAGATTTGATAACTGAGATGTCAGCCTTTTTAAAACTTGGAGAAGTAGCTTAAGAAATACGCAGACACACAAAAATAGTTTTTCTGTATATCTAACTTGAAAACAGGGGAAAGGAAAAAAAAAAAAAAAGCCAGTCCCAAGCAAGCTGACATGATTTTGAGCAGCCCTGCCAATTTCCTGTAGAAAGGCGACCTTCCTGCAGGGCGGAAATGCAATCCACAAATGGCGAGGATGGGACGGCTCCTTCCCAGGCAGAACTTACCAGCCTTCGCTTGGGCTTGATGAGGGGCCGGTTCTGTCCGTTCATTTTGTGGTAGAGCCCGCAGGCGTTGCAAAGGTAGTGCCCGGTCCCATCGCGCCGCCACAAGGGGGTCGAGGTCGCCCCGCAGTTCACACACTCCCTGCCTTCTGAAAACAAGAACACGGATAAGTCACTTCTGGAAGGCAGACACACTGAAAAGCGACACGCGAAGAACGAGCGGAGAGGAGGAAAGCTCAAAACTCCCCTTGCTTGCTGACTCCTTGTTTGGGGGGCACATGTGCACCCCTGAGACGCCCCCCACTAAGGAACAGCAGAACCATTCTCCTATACGGCCACACATCGCAGCGGAAGACGGCAGGTGCAGAAATAGCAACGGAACCCTGGCCTGATAGGCAAGACCAAGCTGACCCACGGGGGAAGGCCGATTCCAAGCGGAAAGATTTCCCCGGGAAAATGCTGAGCCAAAAGCAAAGACACCCCCTTCCACGTCCCTCAAAGAAGACAAAGGCACCCCGCGGTCAGCACTGGCTCTGTCTATGGGGATTGATTAAGTAATGAAGATGAGGATGGAAGAAGATGAAGCAAAGGCAAGATAGATAACACAGACCGATGTGCAGACTGATGGATGGGCGGACGGGCTGCAGCAGCTACGGCCTCAGAGTTCACTTCCAAGAAAATCAGAAATGTCCCTGGCTATGCGTTAACACTTTTACGGCTCTCTTCTCCACGGCTTACCACTCCAGCCCCAGCCTGCCAGCCCAGGGGCTGTGGAAGGGAAATACAGTGTAAACTGTACTCAGGGGCTCTGGAGGAGGAGGAGGAGGAGGAGGAGGAGGAGGAGGAAGGGGAACCTACACAGAAGGGAAGGGAAGGGTCGAGCAGGACAGGGTGCCGATCAGAGGAAGACCTAGAAACCAGAGCAATCAACACAGAAGGGGCTCTTGGCCAGCTCATTACCCAAGGCCTGCCTGCCGCTTCTGCTTCCAAAAACACAAACAAGCAAAATAAACAGAAAACTGGCCAGGGCCAGGTTCAGTTGATTGCCATTCACTCCTACAGCCAGGGCAGCAGAGTGACCCAAGACGCCCGCCCTCCCCCCAGAAAGGTCCCTGGCCGAGTCCTTTAGGGCACGGGGAGGTGTGCTCACTGATTTCTTTCCCACTAACTCCTGCAAGAGGACGCTGCCTTCTGGAAGACTCTCCTCCACTTCCAGGGTCGGGGGAGAGGGCTCAGGGGCTGGGACCCCGATTCCTGCAGGACGCAAGCAGCTCGACTCATGTTGGTCCCCCCAGAGAGGGGTGACCCAGGGGATAGGAGGGAAGACACCAGACAGGGACCAGGGGAAGAACGAGGGCCCCTCAAGAAGATTCTGGATTCAGCGATTAATCAATGACCGCCAACCGACCAGGAAGACCGGAGCGGCATGGGGAAGAGAAAGTAGAAGGTGTCGGGGAATTCTAACCCGCTCTAAGAGAAGGAAAAGTCGGCCCGGGCAGCCCAGGGACCGCCGAAGCCTTTGAGAACCCCCACCCCCCACCCAGAGCAAGCATGAGGGAACCAGGGCTTCGGCCTTCTCCAGGGACAGGTTTTGCAGGAGAGCTGAGAACAAGAGGGTCCCACCCACTCTCTGCTGAGTGTCAAGTCAGGGCCCAGTACTTTTCTGGTCTTATTTGTTGCTCCAAAATTTTCTTGAGGAGTTCCAAGAATTTTTTTTCCCTCCAGCTTCCAAAAGGGGGTCTTAAGTCTTCCAGGGTGTGGGGGTCCTACAGAGAATTTTCGCCAGGTCTAAGAGCCCCTACAAGTGATAATACTATTCAAATGCCTTGCCCTCGGGGCCTGTCGAGACATTCCAAGGTGCCAAAAGCTCTTCTCAGCTCTGGGGTTGTACACCTTTCGTTTTGGGGGTCAGGAGCCCCCGGGAGGCCTGCAGGAAAGAGGAGTGGGCGAGGAGGTGCCAGCTGCAGCCCGAGCTCAGAGGCCGCAGGCCCTGGTACTCCTGCGTCCCAAGCGGGCACTGGGGTAGCCCCATCTGGGGGCAGCAGCACTAACCCTGATCCAGCTGGGGCTGCCAAGCCCACTCCCCAAATCCTGCCCAGACAAGGCTCTTGATGTGATGTTCCTGTCCCACACACCACACACACACACACACACACACACACACACACAGGCACAGGGGGTTCCCGGCACCCTGGCACTGCGGGGGCGGGCAGGGGGACCCCCAGCTGCTGCAATCGCTCTGATTTCCTTTCCTTTTTCAAGCAGGGCGGAGGATGGCAGCTTCCTTTTCAGAAAGCTAGCGACAGACACCACCTCTTGGGGAACGCTCTGCCCACTGGAGCAATTTTCTGTCCCGATTCACTTCGCAAGTTTGCGATGGCCTTGTGTGGGCTTTTCTTTCTCTTTCCTCCTTGCTGCCTCTAGTCTGTCACTTCAGCAAACAGGCAATTTTCCTAATGGAGGCCCCTGGCTCTTCTCCTGCTGTCTGTCTGCCCTGTCCTCAGCACCCTGCCTACTCCGAGGTGCTCAGACAGACACCTTTCTCTTCCGTGACAAGAACCACAGAGCTGGGAGGCCGCTTGCCATTTAACAGCCATTTTCAAGCGGCCCTTGGCTCCCTGGACTGCAACTCCGCCACCAGGCAATGTGAACAGGGTAGGAACAGAGCAAGGAGATGGCTCACTGGAAGGTGGAGGAAGGGGCCCAGAGCCGGGGTGGGGGGAAAAAAGGTTGGAGAGCTAAGACATGGCTCTTTTGCAAAAACAAAAACAAAAAATAAAAAAAAACAAAACAAAACAAAAAAGCAAACCAAAAAAAAAAAAAAAAAAGGCTTTGTCTTTTGTGTGCATAGTGAGATCCCAGCACCGAAAGCCTGGGCGTTTAAGAAAGTAATAGGTGCCCTAACCACAGCTTCAACCGTTTCTCCAAAATGCAGCAGCAGCAGCAACAGCAGTCAGTCCCCTCCTTCAGCAAATGCTTTGCAAAGAGGTTTGAAAAAGAAAGAAAAGAAAGCAACCACTAAAACCAAGAGAATCCCCCCCCCCTTCAAGAATTCCCACCACATCCACCCCTCTGCACACACACAGCCGGGGCTCCTGGAAACTTCCCTTCCACGCTCCCAGAAGTCCCCCACCCCCACCCCCACCCCCACCCCGGGCAGGTGTGAGGGCTCTGGGTTTGGAGGGCCGTGAAAAAGGCCTAGAAGGAGGAAGTAAAAGGTCCATCTCAATGGCCTCCTCCCTCTACCCTGCCGCGCCAAAAAAATAAAATAGGTGTCTAGGTATTTCCAGCCCCGGTTTAGGAAAACTACAGCTCTTTGCCCGCCCCCTCCTCCCTCCATGTTCAGTCTTAAGGAAAGACGGGAGAGAAAGAGAAGCACTGAAACCGAGGCAGAAAGTGCACCCAGAAATGAGGGCAGAGAAACCAGAGTCTTTGGGAAAAGTCAGTCTGTCCCCTCCCCCCCAACCGCCACCTCAGCCTCAGAGACCACGATCTCCCCCCTACCCCAACCCTCAGAGCTCTACCAGAAAAGAGGATTAAAAAAAAAACTGCAACCTCAAAATGCACAGGTTGGTTCTCTTTGCCTCCAGCCAAGTCTCCCTGCAACCCATTTCTCTCCAGCGCTCTGGCTGCCAGCCCCGAGGTCCCCGACAAGGCACCCCTGCCCGCCCTGCCACCAGCCAGTAGCTTGGCTCTGCGGCTCTGCCCTCCTCTCTCTCTCTCTCTCTCTCTCTCTCTCTCTCTGACTCCACGGCTAGCCCACCTCCCTCTCCCTGCTGCCTACTTTCATGTACTGAACACGCAGGTCTGAGTTTTGCTGTCAGCCTAACCGCATCCGGACTCTATTAAAGTTCCTGGCTCGGGATAAACAATGCAACTGTCGCGTGCAGCAGTCTGAAAATAATTGGATTAGCTAAAACATATCAACTAAATAGAGACAGTCCTGCTCAGGCAGTCGCAGTGAATGTCACCCTGGAAAAAAAAAAAAAAAAACAACCCTGAAAGCCGATCTCATGGTCATTGGGCTCCCACAAGCCTGCCTCCCTTCGAAGTGTTTCAAAGGGGCAGCTTTCTGAGCTCCGCTTCGGGCCGGCTCACCTCGCCCTTCAGACACGGAGCCATTCTCTCTGTCGCTATCTCCCTAGGGTCTACACAGACAGAGGGCAGAGGCCAGAAAGACAGAGGGCAGAGGCCAGACAGTCAGAGCGGACCGGAGCCGAGCCGCCTACCCCCAAAACGGACGCGCCTTAGCAGACAGAACAAGAACCTTCACAAAATCGTGTGTCGCAAAGACCGTGACAGCCTTCTCGCCTAGAATCCCTCGCTCTCATCTGACTCAACTGCTTTGCTTAGAAACAAAATCGGTGAGGGATGATTTTATGTTTAAAGCAAACCTCCTGTGGGTGTGTGTGTGTGTGTGTGTGTGTGTGTGTTTGGTGAGTCTACACCAATAGAATAAACACGCAGCGGGGTCTCCAGCCAGAGTCTGCTTTTTGGGAAGAGGGTAAGCGGAGGAAGCAGAGCACACGCTCCCCTTTGAATGGATGCACACTCCTCCCTCGCCCAGCTTCCTGCCCTTGCAGGTAGGGAGCCCCACAAGGCACCACAGGTAGCTGACTGCCATGCAGTTGTTTCCCTAGCACACAGTGAGGTTCTCAGCAGCCCCCCTTGCCCAGCCACAGAATCTGGGTGCTGTTTTGCTAGGATCCCGCGTGCCCGACAAAATGTTCTGTGCTTCCACGTGGACGGCACCCACGTCCTACAGGGAACACTGCGCTCTGCTACCCACCCAGTGGCCCCCTTGGAGCTGGGCGGGAGAGCGACAGTCCCACTGATAAAGGCCACAGCAGGGTCACAGGAGGGACCCGTGTTTGTTTAGGTTTCAGGAGGTTTCGTTTTAGCATTAAACACTAAAGGCTTATTCCCATGGCCTTTATTCCATTTGGTCTTGGAAACCGACTCTGGCGTCCCAGAACTGTGTCTTGCTCCAGGCAGGAGCCCCCATAATTTTTGCTTTGTTTGTCTTTCCCCTTTCCCCGGCTCATTGTGGCAGGTTTGAAAGCAGATCCCACATTCCCTCTGCTTCCACAGCCTGGAATGAGATAGCAGAGGACACTCCCCATGCTTCTCCTCCCCAGCCGGGGGCCTGCAAAAACGGGTTAGAAATCCAGGCTGGGCAGGGCTGGGATTACCCATTCCCCGGGCTCCCCTTTCGGGTGGGCTCCCTGCTCGGCCTGGGATTCAGGGGCAAGGGGAGGCGGGCAAAGGCTTCCCGCAGGGAGAGGCGGTTTCCTACCTGTGCTGGACCTCGCCTTGGGCCGCGACTTACATCCGAAGCCGGTGGGGGAGCCGCCCAGCAGGCTGCTGGGCGGGAAGAGTCCGGAGCTGTATTCGGGCACGTAGGGCGGGTAGGTGGTGATGGGGTGGTGGGCCGACGAGGAGGCCCCGGCCAGGGCGGGCATGCTGCCGCGTGAGTGCGACGCCTCCAGCTTCATGCTGTCGGGCAGCGGCACCTGGTACTTGAGGCACTCTTTTTCGTCCTGCCGGGCAGAGCCGGCCGAGCCCGGAGTGGACAGCGACGGGTCCGGGGAGACGTCCTTCGGCGGCGTGGGCGGGAAGGTGAAGAGGTGCGGGCTGGAGTGGCCGGCCGACAGGGATGACGACGAGGCCGGGGGGTAGACGGAGAGCGGCCCCGGGGAGCCGTGGTGGATGGACGTCTTGGAGAACGGGCTGAGGTTCCAGGGCGAGGCGGTGTGGTGGCTGCCCAAGGCTTTCCCGCCGTCCAGCCAGGGCAGGGACCCGTGCAGCAGAGGCGGGCGGCACACCTGGCTCCCTGCAGCGGCGGCGGCGGCGAAGACACAGGCAGGGAAGGAGCGGGAGAGAAACACGCGGGTCAGAGCGGCCCTCGGACACACACCCGGGCACCCCCAGCCCCCAGGGTAGCAAAACCCCAAGCACCAACCGGGACCTGCGCTGGGGCTCACCCCGGGGGGCCCTGGCCAGCACACCTCGGGGTAGGGGGCAGCGGCTGTCGACTTCCCCTCCCACGTGGCTGTCCCATCAAATGCACTAAGGGCCTGAGCCTGCCACCAGGGAGGTGCCACGAAGGAGTGGAGAAGGGTCCTTTTGACTTACTGGCACCTACAGATAGGCCTCTAAATCACCTTCCCTGAGGTCCCTCTCCAGAACCTAACTTGATTTATTGGTTTCCTTCAATGGCCCAGAGTTTCCCATCCCGCCTTAATCCCAACCAGCCAGATAAGAGAGCCAGCTGTGAGTGATGAGGCCTGAGGAACCGAGCCCGGCCACACCAGGGCTCAACACCAGAAGCAGAACAACCCTCCCCCCCAATCCTATGCAGAGACGCCCAGCTCCCAGTAAGACTTGGGGAAGAAATAATGGCACATTTTAGGGTTCCTTCCAGAAACCGAATTTAGCACTCGCTCAAAATTCACAAGGATGCTTGGGACAGCCCTGAAATGGGATCTGCAATGAAATTCTTCTCGCTCGGGCTGGTGGGAGAAAAGTTTCCAAAGCCGGACCCTGGCAGGGCAGTTTCTCCTGTTTTTCTCACCCTCCCAAAACCTATTGGGAAAGAAAAACCAAATAAGCCCCTGTTGGGTCCTCAAGACAGCAATTCCACTGATTCCACCGCTGAACGGTGTGACCGTTCACCTGAATCCCTGAGACACTGTGAATTTTAAACCAAGGACACCTCCTGCACTGAGCGATTTGGCCTTCATTGAAAGTACTCGCTTGTAAGGTGACCATAACTTATCCAAGAGCTCTCACTCAGAACAGAACAAACTACAAATGCAAACCACCAGCTTATAGATCTTTGCATCCAGCACCTGCCTCAGCAGTTGCCATTCTGTTCAGCCATTAAGAACAATACTGAAACTAAAATCATAAGAGAGAGGAAGGGGAGGGGGATGAGGGGGAAGGAGAGTTCTCTGAATACCAAGGGTTAAGATTCACATTATGCAGGAAGTAGAATAGTAAATAATATTAAGCCTGCATCGACCACATTTCCACTTAACTGCTGATGTGCACACGACCCAGGCGAAGAGCGCCCTATTCGCAGAAACCCTGGCGACAGCGGGGCACAGGACGCCTGCTGCCGGAGAGGCTGTGCCATCGGGCACCCAAGCCGGCTCTGGGTAGGGGCACCCAGGCAGACCTCGGCCTGGCTAGACCTCATGTTTCCTCCGGCCCCATGTTTTGCTCCTGTTTCTTCTTTAGGAAGATAAACTTTCAGCTGGGAACGTGTCAGAAGCTTTCCCAGCTAACTCTACAGGCCTGCGTTTGTTTCTTTTTCTTCCTTCCTTCCTTCCTTCTTTTTTTTTTTTCCTTTAACTATCACAAATCTCCTAAACTTCTCAAGGTGAAAGGGTGTGGGAGGAGGCATTTGGAATGGCTAAAAGAAACCCTGATGTGTCCTAAATCTAGTGTGAAAGCCTTATTATGGTACCGTGGTAGGCCTGACACAGGGTAAAGCAAGGGCTACAGGCAGGGAGGCAACCCGAAAGCCAAGAGGCAGGAAAATTCTGTGCAGCCGGGAATCCCGGACACCTGAAATCCCTCAAAATGAAGTCTTTCCTCCTAAAACCCCTTCAAAGCCCCAGAGTTCCATTTTCAAAATCAAGAGGCAGGAAACCTGCCTGCAAACCACTAGCCTATAAAATGCACGAGCTTCGCGGGGTTGCAGAGAAAAGGCCACAGAGGGGTGTGAATACATAAAACTCCTGGGCCTCTCTGAAAATCAACGCCGAGAGAAACAAATGGAGCCAGGCGCCCTGAAGCCCCCACCTAGGAAGAACTACCGGGGCGGGGGGTACCAAGGGTGCGCGCGGAGCCGCTGGGGAGGACCCGAGCCCGAGGCCGCCCGCAGAGGCAGAGCGCGGGCGCCGCGCGCCTGGACCTCCCGCGCCGCGCAAGCTGCTGCTGCACCGGGGCCGGAGGGCTGCAGCTCAGCGCCCGCCAGGTGAGCGCCAGGCCCTGGGGAGAGACCGGCAGCCGAGAGCCGCCTGCTGCCACGCTCTGTAAAAAACACACTCTCTCGACAAGCGACACGGCCTCCTCGCCCATTTCCGGGCCCGTCGTTTTTTGTTTTTTTGTGTTTTTTTTTTTCTTTTCTTTTCTTGTAAATGAACCAGTAACTGCACCTGGGGGCTTTCGCTCAGTGTCTCGGCGGCGCCAAGTCCGTCCCTCCCAACCTCCCTCCATGCCCGGGGGCGCGGGTGTTGGACTCACCGTGGTGGGTCGGAGGGTACCTCTGCACCGTGGCCCTGACGGAGTTTCCGTAGTACGGCGGGACGTGGTTGCCTTGCCCGTCGATGTTAAAAAGTACATCCACCTCCTCGGGCAGCGGGTACTGCGCCGGGTCCATGTACGAGTGGCCGAGGCCCGGGTGGTGCGTGTCCGGGTGCTGCCCGTTGAGGACCGCCGGGTGGTGGTGGCTCACCCAGCGCGGCTGGTCCGCCGTCACCTCCATGGCCTCGGCTGCGCTCGCGCCCTCTGGCCGGGCCGGGAACCCGCGCGCGGCGAGGGAGGGCGGTCGACCTGGGAGGTCGCGGGGCTCCTGCCGTCGGCGGGCGGGGAGAGGGGCTCCTTTTTTTTTTTTTTTTTTTTTTAGTGATTTGTTTTCACCGGAGCAGTGGGAAGGCTGGGGAGGAAAGGAGAGCAAACGGAAGGAGTTGGAGGACAAAAAATCTTGGAGGGGTAATTTAGCAAGAAGAAGAGGAAAGGGAGAAAAAATCCAAAAACTAGGTACGGCGGGATGGAAAAGGGAGCGAAGGCGCTGGGAGTCCGCGGGGGAAGCTGCTCTGCACCTGGGCTCCTCCTCAGAGGCTCCGAGCCGGACTCTCTCCTCGGCTCACCTGCAAGGGAAGAAGGGAGAGACGTGGATGAGCCCGCGGGTCCTCTAGCACCTGAAGTTGCTGTTACGGCACCACCTCCCCCGCGGACGGACGCGCACAGCGCGCGGGGGACGCCTCCCGCGGATCAAGCGGAGGGCCCCGGGACATCCCCGCACCGGGTTCGCGGGAGCCCGGGACGCCTTTGCAGGACAAGTCCCCCTTCCCTCGGGGACACCAGTCCCGGGACCTTGCTTCCAGCTCTCGGGAAGCTCTCCAAGAGCAACGAGTTGCGTTTTTAAAACCAAACAAAACAACACAAAAATAAGTCTTCCCAAGTGGAGAAAGTAGGGGGGGGGTGGAGAATCAAAGTTTAAAAAAAAGAAGTCACCAGTATACCAACCTGGGTAGCGAGGAGCAAAGAGGAAGAGGAGGAGGAGGACGCGTGCGACCTGCCCGGCCAGATTGCGTGGCTCACTCTGTCTCGCTCTCCGTCTCTCTCTCTTTTCCCCTCTCTCCCTCGCTCAGTATTTTTTTTTTTTTACAGGGAATGCATTCTTTCTGAAAGTATCAAGACGGCGCCAGGCAGCTCAGTGTTCGCAGACAGCTGTGGCGCGACGCAACTTAAGGAGGTTCTAGTGTCATCCGCGCCGGGGGGGAGGAGCCTGGCTGCTGGCGAGGAGGGGACAGGATCCCCAGCACCAGGAAACTGCAACCCAAACCGGCTCCAGGGCTGCGCCCCCACCCCCCGCCCGCCGCCGCCGCCCCTCCCCCGCCGCCCGCCGCCGCTGACCGGAAAGGGGCGCCGCGGAGGGCGGCCGCGGGCCCAGGGGGCGGGCGCGCGGGGGATTCGTGCTCTGGCCCTTTAAATGTGGCTCGGGCTCCCGCCGCCGCTGCCCGAACACGGTGGGATCTAATCGAACCCGGTGACACCTGCATTTACCTCTGCATACATTCGGCAATACCTGTAACTAATTTTTTCCCCCCCCAAAAAACGGGCAAACTTTTATTGAGGATTTCACTCCTGGCATTTGGGAGACGTGTAGCAGTCAGGAACTACGTGCTGTCACAGGGATCAGAAACCACAGTGTTCACGTCCAGGTGCAGTTTTTGTTTTTTTTTTTTTAAGATCGGACTCCAAGCGGAGGGGCAGTGCCTTTGCTCAGGAGTTTTTGCTGCCCACCGTGTGCCTATGCCTGGGGGACGAGGTAGGGTCGGGCAGCCGCCTCTAACGCACCGGCGCACGCTCGGCCTGCGGCGCCGTCCTCCGAACACCTGGCGTCGGTGGCCGACGTGCGCTCTGGGCTGCACTGACAGCAGTATTGGGTGCCGGCTGCGCGACCCTACCTCGTCCCCCAGGCATACGGGGGACAGCAATAACTCGGTCTCCACTCCTAACCCAACTTTTTCCCCACGCCGCCCCGCCTGGAGCCCCACTTGACTCTGAACCCCGGCAGTTCCACCAGCCCCAGGGCCTCAGCCCCGCGCCACCGACCCTAACACCCCTCAGGGGCCGCCGGGCGGGGACTCAGCGGCCACCTTGCTGCAGCCGCGCCGGCCTCCCGGCCACGCTCTGCCCAATGGGCAGCCCTGGGCGGAGGGAGCGTGGCTCGAGCCGCCCCAGCGAGGGGGGCGGGGTGGGGCGGGGCGGGACCCCGGGAGGGCCAATCAGCGGGCGAGGCTCCGGCCGGGCGGCGATTGGCCCGCCCCTCGGGCTCCAACCTCCCCGGCCCGGTGCGGTCTTTTGAGCCACTGCATCCCCTAGCGGCGCTGAGGCTCCTGCACCCGCCGGCCGGGGAACTGGCGGCTGGGGCGAGCAGGGGTCAGGCGGCAAAACCGGACTCCAGGTCCAGCGCGGGGCAATGTTGCGGTACAGGAGAGTGCGGGTTCTCCCGAGCGGGCTCTGCCCCCCAGCCCTGGCGCGCCTGGGGGCTGTATTTGAGGGTTTATTTGAATGTACACTACGGTTGCCTCTTTACTCCTGTACCCCATAAAACGTCACCCCCCCCCCACGAACCTTGGCGATAGAAGCCGACCCTGAATGTTAAGTTCTCAAGGATTCCTTCCACGCTGTTAAGGAAAAGCATCAGTAACCGGCCTCAGTTGGGGCGGATGGGTCTTGAAAAAAAATCCTCGTGGAAAGATGGGTTGAATGTATTCGGAAGGTTTTCTCTGAATTGGACCTTGAATCCTCGCCTTCTTAAATATGATTTTTTTTAAAATCCGGGTTGAATGTCTACACTCACAACAGGAAGATAATAAATTTAATAATTAACAATACTCCCGCCCCCCACGTTTCGCCCATGCCCGCCGGGGTCCGCATGTATTGGAACCGCCCAGTAAAGGAGCATCGATTTCCCCTCGCTTCTTGACCGCTCATCTCTTCTGGGCCAGCCGAGCTGCCCGCATCTCCTGCTACTCACCGCTCTCTCCAAACCTTTTAATTATTTAGTTGCTGTCTAACAGTCACCGGAAACTGCTCCATAAACAAGAAGAAACTAACGCACACACGTTGTGGGCTACTAAAGAGGCCCGGAATTCAAGGTAGAAGTGGAAAGAAAGAAAGGCTTCTAAAAGCGCATCCGTCAGGCCGACCGCCCGGTCCACGCCACGTGGGACGCCCAAAGCGCAGCCCCTAAGGCCTCGGCGCCACGGTCCCGAGAAGGGGCCAAGGGGACCCGTGCTCCGGGTGGGAAAGCACCTGATGCCCGGACACGAAGATGTTAACGTGTGGGGGAGCTAAAAAAAAAAAAAAAAAAAACGTTTTAAAGACAACGAGAAAAAGGTCTGGGAAGCGGCGGCTTTCCAGGGTGGGGTGCCTCGGTGACCACCTTGGTGGTGGGACGAGCCGGGATTATTCGTTTTAATTCAATCCCCGTCACCGAGTCGGACTACGTGGGGACCTAAGGCGCAAACCTCCCCCCCACACACACACCACCACCTTGGAAAAATAAAAGATTTTGAAGGCCCCGCTAGGTCTGGGTGGTTTGGGGCTGGCAGAGAGGGGTGGGGGGCCTGGGGTTGGAGGCCGGGGGTAATGGAGCCAGCCAGTAGGGGGTATTTAACATTTAATTCCCAGCCGGTCCGCCCCTGTTCCCGGACTGACAGTGGGTAATTGGGAAAGAGGACGTTGCTCTTTTGATGGCCCGCGCCGGCCAGTCTCGCCGACGCCACACTGGGCTTGACGTCACGGGCCCAGCCCCAGAGCCAGGAGCACGGCGCGGGCGGGGTGGGGGGGGGGTAGAGGAGGAGAAGGAGGTGGGAGGGGAGGGGGAGACTGAGGAGGGAGGGCCGAGGTCGGCCCCGGGACCCACGGGGAAGAAAGGGGGAAGGGAGCGAGGCCGGAGAGGCTGCGGCGCGTGGCCTGAGGCGTAGAGCCGGGCTGCGGGGGTCTGGGCTAGGCCAGGCGCCGGCCTGACCCGCCTAGCCGGCAAATGCAGGCCGGGCTTCCTCCTCCCGGAGCGGGCGGGGGAGGGGAGGGGGCTTGAGGCCGCGGTGGGGGGTGGGGGAGAATGGAGAAAGGTGGTCCTGATTCTCCCTTAGCTCGAGCCCACAATGTGCATCCAGGCCTCCTGCGGAGACGCCTCGGCGCACCCCGGCAGACCTGAAGCGCCCCTCTCGCCAGGTATCCAGGCCCTGGGCCTGGCCTAAAAAGTCCCTCACCCCACCCCCTCGCCTCCCCGAGAGCAGCCGGCGGAGCTCGGATGGAGGCGACAAGGCGGGGACCCACAAGGATGCTGCCGCCGCCGCCGTCCCACCGCTGCCCAGGCTCCAGTAAGAGCGCGAGGCCGCCCTCGCCAGGGTAAGGGGCTGGCGAACGGCCTGGGCGCCTGGGACCTTGGGGACAAGCATCCCAGGGTAAAGCAGCGCGCGCGGGGGCGCGTGCACGCACACACACACACACACACACACACACACACCCTCCCCAGGAGACAGGTCCTGATGCGATGCGTGGGGCGGCGGGAGCCAGCTTAGCCTATCTGAAACCCAGGCCTCTAGGAGGTTGCTTCAGATGTCAAGTTGAGAGCGGGGTATGTGTGCCCTCTTGGGGAAAGGGTAAGAAATAGAGTATGACTTTCTCTATCGTGTTGGGGATAGACTGGGACGGACACACACACACACACACACACGTGCAGGTCCCTCCCACCGGCCCTCCCAGGGGCACAGAGACCCTGGCCCGCGGTGGAAGTGGGGAAACACGAGGCCACGGCGCATCCAGACGGAGCGGGCTCCCGGGGCTCAACCCGAGGTCGCACGGACCCAGACACAAGAGATCCACGCGGCCAGCGTCCACACCCGAGCCTGGCGACTGGTGCGTCCAGGCGAGCTCCGCGGGGCCGAGGTGCCGGAAAAAGCAGCCCTGGGGTGCGCGCGGGCGCGAGCTGCCCGCGAAGGGTAACCAGCAAAGGCGAACCTCGGGGTCCAAGTCCTAAAGTTACTAATCCCGCTCAGGGTTGGGGCGGGGGGGGGGGGGCGGAGAGCGTGCCTCCGGCCGCCTGGGGCGGTCATTTGAGCGTGTTTACTTAAGGACTTTGCAAGCCGAGCGCGCGCGAAATAGTCGGATTTCCAGCGAGGCAGCAAATATTTGCAGGCAGGAGAAAGAAGCGGAGCCCGGCCGCGCCGCTGCGTCCCTCCCCCCGGTGCCACGGCGCCGGCCTGGGCGGACCCGGCCGCGCGGGTAAAGACAGAAAAGCAACCGAAGACCTGCTGGGGGCTGGGGGCTCGGAGATACCGGGGGCCGGCGCAGAGCGACACCAAAGGCCAAAAGCTGGGGGCACGGCCCGAGGCCCTGGCACGCCGAGGTTGGGGGAGGAGAATTCCCTTCCTATTCCAGCCCGATCAATCTTCCTGGGCTGCGATCGGTCAATAAAAAAACGGTGTGAAGCGTCCGCAGCCGCTGTGCGTCTGGGGAGGAAGTAGGGGGCCAGAGGTGTCGAGGCCGGCGCCGGCGCCCCTCACCAGCCGGGTTCGCTGCCCTTGGGTCTGCAAGCCTGAGGCCCCCGCGCAGTGCGTTGCCGGGAGCGGAGCGCGGCCCGCCGGGGCCTTTAATTGGGTGTCTCCGTTTTAATAGTAGCCATTGTTGGAGCAATTAGCGAGAGACAATAACCACCGAGAGGCGTTTAATTCGATGCCGTGCGCCTGCTGCAGCCCAGCCCCTGGAAGCTCGGGAAGACAGTCCTGGGCTGCTCCGAAAGGGAAGGTCCAGTTGGGGAGGCCCCGGTTCCTTCCCCCTCCCACTTTCTCTTAGGCGTGGGAGTTCTAAAAGGGCGAGTAGGGCAGGCTGAAAACCGGGCGAGAGCAACCTGAGCCAGGCCTGCTGCAGGAAACCCCGTCCCCAGCCTCGCTAGAGCCCGCCGGGCGCCCCCAAGCCCGCCGCGCCTCTTGGAGCCGCGGCGGCCACGCAGGTTCCCAACACGGTCAGAGACAAGCCGGGAGGACGAGGACACGGAAAGCGGCCTCCTTCTCAGCCGCCGCGGGTCCCCACCTCGGTCACCCGAACCACGACTGAATTTCCTTTCCCTATCCGGGGAGAAGGAGGAGCAAAAGAGAGACCCCCGCTTGCGGCGTGCGCACACACCTCCCTCTCCGACGGAGCCAGCCTCGCTACCCCCTCCTCCGCCTCGGCCCGCGGATTAGGTTACCGTGGCCGGGCGAGGATTTTTACTGGATACGAGAATAGCACAGGTAAAGCTGTATAAACAGCTCGCCGGCTGCCGGGCGGGAGGGTTACGCCGGGGACACGGCCCAAGGCGCCAGCGCCGAGCCGGGCAGCGCGGGCGAAGCGGCTGGGGCCGCCCGCTCTGGCGCGGCGCCCCAGCCGGACGGTGCAGGTTCAAGACGAATTTTAGAAATCTCTGCAGCCTCCACTCCGGCCTCCTTTCTCTTTCCCGCATGAGCTGAAATTTAAAGCGTGGAGCGCAAGCAAAATCAAAAATGTGATGAGAAAGCGGTAGGCGGTGGGCAATGCCGGCTGAGGATCCCGGCTCCGCAGTGTGTGTTCTTTTGAAGTAAAACACAGCGAACAGGTAGTTTAGGGGGGTAGGAAAAAAAGGGACCCCAAAACTCACTAGCCACAGGAAGATGTTGGAGGTGGAAACCTCCAGAGGGAAACCCCACAGGAACTCGGGCGGGCAGGCAGAGCTGTGCGCGCGTGGCCCACCCACGGCTCCCACGCCCACCCGCCGCATGCTTGGGGTCTGCCTTCCCTGTGAAATGGGCCACCGGTTTGGGAGTGATATGTGGTTTGATTCACCTATTTTTTTGTTTTGTTTTGTTTTTGCTTATTCATCTATCACCGTTTTAAAAACTCGAAAGGAAACCCATCCGGAGGAGAAAGAGCGGTGAGCGCGGTGGAGAGTCAAAAAGAGAAGAAGAGAGGCTCTCGGAGATACCCCCTCGCACTCCGCCCCCAGCCCCAGCCCAAGCCTCAGGCTGCGGGGGATCCTGCACCCTCCCACCACTACCTTTTCCCCGGTAGAAAAAAACCTCATTGTAGCGAGATAGAAGAGAGAGAAAGAGAGAGAAGGCCGGGTGTAGGTAGGTAGGGGTGTAGCGGAAAGGGGGAGAGAAGGGGGGGGGTTAACGAGGCGCAGGTGAGGGGACGATGATGATGGCGGGAGACCCGGAGCTGAGCGGCGGAGAAACAGCTCCACTGGGGATGAATCCTAAGGAATTCTAGTTACTCTGGGGGGAAGGGCTCACCACCACCATCACCCCCAGCTCACCCTTTTTCCTGGGCTTGGGTGGTCTGAGAGACAGGTGAGAACTAAGGAGGAAGAGGAAGGGATGGCGGTGCCATAGCTGGGCATCCCCGTGGCCTCCCAAGGCTGCGGGCCGCTTACCCTGGCCCAACCAACAGCATCGCCCACTTCCAGCCCCGGCCCACTGCCTCTAAACCGGGGCCTCTCCTCCCAAGCCCCCTCGCTACACACGGGCCGAACCGCTGAAGCACCTTGGCTTTGCGCCCCAGCTAGTAGTTAGCCAAGCGGCGAGAGGTTCACCTCTTTGGACGCGTGGGCCGATCGCCCGTAGCAATTTTCGGGCGAGGAGAGGTGTCTGTGCGGCTTGGGCTGGCTGGCCCTGGCCACCTGCTCCACTCTCCGTGGCCTCCCGCCGCTGCCAGCTGGTCGCCCACAACCTCAGCGGTACCCTGTCTCCAGAGCGCCTGGCCGAAAGCTAGTGTCGGGCGACTCTCCTCCGGCTGTTCCAATTTGGCATTTCAGGAGGAGCAGGAGGGCTTTATCTGGGGGGCTATTGTGTTTTTACTCCTCTAGATTAGCCTGAGGAACTGGAATGTGATTGTCGCCGGACAATCGACCGTGAGCGTCAAGGGCAACTGGGGGGGGGGGGGCGGTGTTCCCAGCAGGGGTAGGAGAAATGGGGGAGGGTGGCTCTGCTCAGATCCAGGAGACAGCAGAGGCGGGCTTTTAAAAGCATGAATCGTTCCAGTCTTCCTCTGGTCACGCTGAGACCCCCTTAGTAAAACGGTGCATCTGCCAGGCTCAGAGATGCAAAGGCGGCAGCACCCGGCAAATCTACGGTGCCCGGCCCTCCTGGGTTCCAGGACTCCCTTATGCCCTCTGCCTCTGCCAGCCAGGCCCGGGCTCGGGCTTGGCTCTCCGCCTCCTGCCACCTCCTGGACCCCAAGCAATTTGTTATATAAAACAGAATAGCAACCAAATGCATGTGCCTGTTCCTCACTAGCGCCTGCATACCCGCAGCGACAGACCCCGCGGGAGGGACCTGGGCTTGGGGGCCATGGACCACTGTTTCTCCTCTCTTCTGCCTGCTGCCACCACCCCAGTCTGGGCCCCCTGTCTCACTCCCCAATGCTGGTGAGTCTCTCTCTCTCTCTCTCTCTCTCTCTCTCTCTAGTTAATGCCAACAGTTAAGGAAACAGAAGTGATCAGAAATAGGTTGTTTGCACACAAAGACACGGGGAGAAGAATGACCATTCGTGTGCAAGATGTCTCAGACACCAAGGCTGACATCAGTGCAGTCCAGAAACGGTTGAAATAACCCAGTGCAAGAAAACAGAGACAGCTCCCGGCTCTACCCCCATATCCCTTATCACGATCCCTAATGCCCCACCACCTCCCAAGGTTCTGGGACACAGACTGCCTTAACCCGCAACGGCCACCCACAGTCACCCACTCCCACATACCTGCCCCTTCCCCAGGCTCTCCGTGCTGCCCTGGGATGCTGAGCCTCCCAACTGAAGGGGTCTACCAATGAGGACTCAGGAATACCCACTCGGCATCCCCTCACTGATGCCTACCTCATCTATCTGAGGCAAGAAGGCAGAGTGATACTGCACCGTCTCCAGGTTGTCCATGGGAACAAAAGCTTCCCCCCACTCCCCAGGCACCGGATCCCCGCCGAGAGTAGCTAGCAGAAGCAGCTTGTGTGGAACGAAGGGTGGCCACCTGGACTCACCCGCATACTCCAAGCCCAGCTGGCTTCTTGGGCCAGGAGCCTGGGGCCTTGCCGAACCACTGGCTTGAGGCTGGAAGCTGGGCCTCCTGTTTGATCCCACCACCGGAATCAGTCATCAATAATCAGAGCCCAAATAACCCGACATTCACTTGGATTTTTGTCCTGTCTGAATCGACCCCACAATCCCACCGGGGTAAAGACAGGTAGAAGACAAATCTTGCCAACAATGCAAGTATCTCCAATGCCACAATCAACCCTTGGGCCCCTGGCGGGGACTCCCTGTCTTACAACCTGCCACAGGAGGCACAGTCCACCTGTCGCCGCCACAGCACCTTTCCTGTTGCAGCTGTAGACGGTGAAAAAGCTGCAGGGATGCTTCTGTATCATGTGTCCCTTTAAAGTTCTGTCTCCCACCCACAGCCCCAGGACCCAGGCAAATGCAGGCAACAGAGAACAACCAGCAAACTCTGGCGAAATGCTGCCTTGAGGCTGCCTTCTACCTCTGGCCCCATACCCTTTTCTTGTGTCAATTTCTTCCGGCCCCTTGTGCTATCCCACAGGAAGAAAAGGCAGGTATAAAAGCAGCTGGCCTGCTTGGATTCACTCCACTTCGCTTTCATTTTAACATCAGCTGTCTTTGTGGGATAGCTGCCTTGGAGCCACTTCTTGTAGGGGGCCGTTGGTGTGAGGTCCCAGGAGGAAGTCCAAATCTGGTCTCCTCTGCCCCCTCCCCTGACCCTGCACACCCACGGTGGGAGGCTGTGGTTTCCTCCCCTACCCCCCCTACCCCTACTCTGCCTCAGGGTGCTCCTGGAAGCCAGGACACCTCCCAATTGCCAGCTCCCCAGCAGGATGCCAGATGCCGGCACATCTGGGCTCCAACTTTATCTTATAGCACACAGCTGTTTCTTTAATTATATGCAGAGACAATGAGCCTAAACTTACACTTGTAAGCAGAGGAAAATAAACGCAAAATTGACACTGGGACACTACAGCCGCCTTGGGGAGAAGGCTCCCAGTATATAGGTTGTTTTCCCCCAATTCCTCTCCCTGCAGAGGAAAACTCGGGTCTGGCCCATCCCCAAAAGCATTCTTGCCGGCTCTTATTTTCCTGTTCAGTTTTTTCTTCTTTGCATCCCTAGTTCTAACAGCTCTTGGCTCCACACAAGGGCATCCACACACTTACACACCGCGCTCGCCCAAGGTCATTGCAGAAAGAACAATAATGGACTGTGGTCTAGTTCACTTTCTTCTAGAGTCAGCTGTCCCTTTGGGGGCGAGACCTCCTCCTAATTCTCTCCACGTGGGGCAGGGAGAGAGAGAGAGAGAGAGAGAGAGAGAGAGAGAGAGAGAGAGAGGAGAAAGAGTTGCATTTACTGACCTGGGCAGCTTGCTCCCGAGGGCCAGCTGTTTTTTATTTTTCCCCCCACCCCGGACTCGCTGGAGATCTGAAGGCAGGAATGACAAGCACAGTCCGCCACCGTTGCCGCCGCTGCTGCCGTGCCCGCCGCTTGGAACTGCTTACCGCATCTCGGGCGGGCTTCCAGCGAGAGGTAAAACCTGGGAGATGTGCATGCTTCCCGGAGCCCCCTCCCCTCCGCCTTCCCCAGCTCACGGTGGAGAGCAGAGCTCTTCCGGGTTGCGAAGGGGGGAAAGGGAGGGAGGGGAGAAGAAAGAGCGAGGGAATGAATTTTACCCCCTTTTGCAAACACGCAAACCGCACATCAGGGGTGTGAGAGACTGACAGAGCCGGGGGAGGAGACGGGGAGGACTGCCTGAAATGTGACCTGCCCCTGGCGCCTAGGGAGCCCAATGTCTTTAGGCAGGGCTGGAATTAACACTATAAATGTCATCAGCAGTGCTGACTGGCTCGCTACCGCTACCGTAAGGATAAACGCGCGTGGGACATTTTCCTCCTGCTGCTACCAGTAGTAGGGACCCAGGGCCAGCGTCCAGAGCTCCAGCTGGTGGCAACCGCGAGCAGGGCCAGTGAACTAGCGCCTCTGCCCGCAGGGCTGTCCCTCTGCCTTCCCACGGCGTCTCCTGTTTCTGTGGATGCTGATACCCCCCAAAAGCCCCGCGCTCCACCTTTCTCTCTCTCTTCAGCCACAGCTGGCCAGAAAAAGTTGGGAGAAGCAGGATGTCCCATAACTGGGCTTGGTCTCTACCCCGCTGGTGCTCCTCCCAGCAGGTATAAAAGACTATTTGGAGACGGGGATGACATGGGTACACCGAAGAGAAGTTTGGGAAGGGGATTCTCGGGACCCCAACTCTTTAACAAGACTTTTGGGGAAAAAGAAATCTGCCTTCTAGGAGAATGAGATAAGGGAGCAGAAATCAGAGACCACCTGGGGAGATAAAATGTCTGAAGGAAACCGATCCTAAACTCCGTCCCTCCCCGTTGGAATCACACCCTCCCCCCCGAGTCCCGCACGCTCCCTACCCCTGCTGCTGAGGAGATCAAAATAATCCACGCAGAGAATCTGTCATGAATAAATTTCGCCAAGAGTAAAATGAAACTCCATAAACATTGGGTTAGAAAGGTCACGGTCCATTTGTTTTGACAGGTAGAGTTTTCCCTTCACAATATTTATACAGTAAGAATCTGGAGACTGACTTTCAAAATAAATAGATCTTTGGGGAGAAATAAAACAAAATTGGCCCATGGCTGGGCCAGGAGATCAAGCCGCAGTGGATGCCCCCCAGACCAGCTAGGTAGGAAGGGAGCTGGCGGAGCAGCGCGCAGGGCACCGGGTCTTGGGGAGGGGTGGCGTTGGGGCCAAGGGTCAGCGCAGGCGGGAGAAACGGTGTTGTGGCTGGGAGTGGAGCCGAGGCCCGATTTGGCGTGCGGGGTGCGGGTCTAGCTGCGGATGCGGACGGGTCGGAGTGCAGAGCGCGCGCGCAGGGCGCTACCCACGTTGGGAAATGGGCCGCAGCTCTCCGCGCTGGCCGGTACTGCCCCCACCCGTCGGATCTGGCGCCTGCCTCCCGGCACTTAAACCCCAAATCACCCTCCACTCAGACCCACTGCCTGAGGTGCTGCGATTGGGGTGGGGGTGGGGGCACAGGTGTACGTCGCGACGGGGAAGAAGACGAGTCCAAACCTTCGCCATCCGGGCCAAAAGAGGGGAAAGCTGGGGGCGGGGGTCTCCCAGCCCTTTCAGCGGCCACCAAGCCCACCCTTCGTGGCGAGCGCATCCCCTCTGCACCTGCCCGCCCTGTCCCTGTCGCTCTCCGCCACCAAGTGGCAGAGACTTTGGGAGAAGGCCACGCTCCTGCTGGTTTGCACCCAACCTGTTGCCGGGACGCAACACCTCGGAGGGGCTGTGCCACTCGGGCCTCGGTCGGTCGCTGGGGAGACGGGTGTGGCCGGTATCCCCACCGGGAAGGGAGAGCCCTTGTCCCCCAGGGCCCGGGTGTAAGCTACTGCCCACGAGACCGATGCTATCCCACTCGCTTGCATCCTCCTCCAAGCTCCGCACTGCGGCTTCTGGTTCCCCCTTCTCCCATTCCTCCCTCTTCCTCCCTCCACACATCCACCTCCTCCCAGGGGACTCGAAGATCGGTCTCTTAACACCTGAACTGTGCCACGACACCTTCGGAGACCCAGGGCGCAATTTGGCGTTCCCTTCCCCCACTCTGCCGTACACACCTTGGCCACCCGGTCCCCTGCGCGTCCGCGGCGGCGGCGGCGGCAGCGACGCTCCTTCCCAGGTTCCAGTCGGTCTGGCGGCCTTGTTCTCCGTTCCTTTTCTGCTGACGCGGGCACTTGCTCGTCGCCAAGTCTAAAGTGACTCCTGGGTGAGGGGTTGCGAAATCCGATCACACGCACGAGGACTCCCTGGTCACCCCAATTCTACCTTGAGCAAAGGAAGCCTTCCTTGAAGGGGTTTCAACTGCCAACGAGACATCCAGGCTTGGAAAAAGAAAATCCAAAGAACTTAAGACACATGTAACTGTTTTGTCAATGAAACGGTCAGACGGGGGGCGGGTGGGGGGGTGCGAGTCAGCCGGCCGGGCGTGACTTGCAATCTTGATGGACTCTGGAAACACTACTAACGAGGGAGAAGTATCCCAGGATAGAGAGGAAACATCTGAGAGTGGGGAACAAGTTGGGTAGAGGAAGGAGAGAATTGATCTCGAGGAGTGAACAAAGTAAGGCAGACGGTCCCAATTGCTTAGTCACACTTCCTGGGCAGAAAGGCTGATCGGAGCACATCGGCCTGGCGCACTGTGAAGATAC